GATCTATCGCGCTTGAATTTAATCAGTACTGCGCGTGCGTGACTGACAAAATTATCGGCAACAGTGCGGACATGCTAGCATGCGTAAGTACATGTGCTTCAGTTGTTCAGTTGACGTGAGTCCGTGCCGTCCGTGGTCCGTGTCAGTCCTCAGTCAGTGAGCCTGGTCGGTCTGACAAAATTTGTCTGTTGGGTCATACAGGGTTTGTCCGGAAAGTAATGCGTCGCATTTTTTTGTGACGCGACTATACATCGCAGAGCGATGGGACCGGTTGGGGAGGAAGGGGGGTACCCTTAGCTTTCCAACGGTAGGTCGCTCAATTGTTTCCATGCGCTTGGAGGGTTAGGACGGCTTATTCTGTGAACCTCTGCTTAGTGGTCGCGTCGAACTTGTGATGGAGAGAACGATAGAGCAACGCTATGCGATAAAGTTTTGCGTGAAGCTGGACAAGACGCCGCTGGAAACTTTTGAAATGCTCAAGAAAGTTTTCGGGGACGATTGCCTTTCCAAATCGCAGTCAAACAGATGGCACAAGATGTTTAGAGAAGGTCGGAAGGAGGTCGCCGACACAGATTAATAGACAGATCGCCAAAGGCCTGCCTAAAGAAGAGACCGCCATCTTCATGCGATAGACTTTGCCCCTTACCGACACACTTTGCCCCTGGTTCGAGTCCGTGCTAAATTTCGTAGACTTGAACCAAAAGACTTTGCCCCTGGTTCGAGTCCGTGCTAAATTTCGTAGACTCGACCAAAAGACTTTGCCCCTGGTGCAAGTCCAGGCTAAATTCGTTTGACATTACCAACAGACTTTGCCCCTGGTGCGAATCCAGGCTAATTGATCATGAGACCAATTTGAGAGATTTGGCCCCCGTGTGTGTGTGTGTGTGTGTGAGAGAGAGAGAGAGAGAGAGAGAGAGAGAAAGAGAAAGAGAATATTTTACATATGCATATATATATATATATATATAAAATTTATTAAATATAAAAAATATATTTTTTACACATAAAATGTTTTTTTATTGAAATAATCACGATTTTAAATGTGATATAACACAGTGTTCAAAAATTTTTAATTAAATTTTATTAAAGAAAATTACTTGAAATTTTTTACATTAAGAATTTAAAGGCTCCTTATTCTCTTGTAGAAATTTATCACTATGCCAATTAATCACTTATTTCGAGTATTTAAAATACTATAATATACAGTAATTTAAGTATTCGAAATAAAAGTGATTAATTACTCGAAATAAAATTGATAAATTGGCGTTACTAGTAATAAATTTCTATAAGGGTTGAAATAAAGTATAAGAGATAAATAGGCTATATGTGAGCCGTATGAGAAATGTGAGATGTAAGACGCATATTGAAATTTAATTTTTCGATATAACTTTCAAAAATGTACACGAGGTACAAAAAATTAGCTTGGACATTTGTAAGACTTAAAATTGGGATTAATTCTCAATTCTATTAATTAAATTTCGATATAACACACCTTACATCCGCGCACGGCTCACATATAGCCTATTTATCTCTTATACTTTATTTCAACCCTTATAGAAATTTATTACTAGTAAATTTATTACTAGCCCATTTATTAGTGCAATTTTTAAGTTCCTTATTTTTCAAAGTTGACCTTTTTACGTTATCAAATATTTTTGGTACGTTTTCAAGAATTTTATATTTTTACTTACCGCAGTTTCTTATCCAAATGTAAAATCTTTTATCGCAGTCTATAAAAAATTGAAACAATTTACAATTTTATGATATAATATTATTATTATTACAATTTCTATATATATGCACATCTATGTCAAATATCGTGATTTATTTCACATTATTATTATCTATTTTAATAAAAAAAAAAAAAAAACACTTGCAACAATCAAAAATAAACCGCCTGCCGCGAACGGAAAATGCCAAGAAAGCACGCAATTTCCGCGAATCTCGTAATTTTTTTGAAGAATCAACAATTTCAACGAAATTGTAAATTCTTCAAATCACTGCACAAGTATAATTCACAATAATAATTTTCAGTAACTACGATAAAAAATCGTATACTGAAAACCGCAAACGAAAGTGCAATGGGAGTAAGAGTAAAGTCTGTGATAAAATTAATTGTCAATAGAAAATTAATAATTTTCAAATAGAAAAATTTTGAAATTACCGAGGATTTACAAATAATAAAGTAAAAATATTAAATAATTTATGTTTTCGAATTTTGCTCGCGGAGAGGATCTTTAAAACAAGATTTTTAGAAGAGAGGACCTTTAAAATATAAACAGGCTAAAACGTTGGAAAAATTAAAGCGCGCGTTTAAACAGATAAACGCAATGAAATAGATACGCAATTGTTTTTACTTATCGCTGTAAGCTCACAAGCTTCTGACGTGCTATACACTTTTATATAATATATACAGGGTGTCCGGTAACTAACGGACCAATGATTAAGGGCGGATTCTCTGGCCAATTTGGAGACGATTTTTCCTTAGCAAAAATGTAGAGAAGTCAATAATTTTCGAGTTATAAGCGATTGAAAAAAATAGGTTTTTTGAAAACTAAACGTTTTGGAGTTAAAAGTCTAACATAATTACATTCTTCAGTTAATTTCAGGTAGAGTTTACTATAATAAAATTTTAATTTAAGGCTTAGTTATAAAGATATATAATGACAAAGATTGGAAAGTTGTAAAAAATGATGACCTTTTTCGACATTTTCGCTGAGGAAAAATCGTTCCCAAATTGACCAAAGAATCCATTTGTAATCATTGGTCTGTTAGTTACCGGACACCCTGTATATTGGACACGAGTTTCGTTTGTTTCAGATTCTCGAGAGTTGAAGTAGGAACATACGAGTATCATATATCGTTTGTGACTTGCCGAATGAAAGCAAGACAGAGAGCGAACGAGATGATGAGCTTAATAGCTCATAATGTTATAAATAAATAAATAAAAAATTATAACTTGACCTACTAGTTATTGAATCTTTTTTTAATAAAATGTTTCATTATTATTATCATCTAAGTCTAAGTCGTTTAATTACTTTTTAGTTTTTTAATAATTAATTTAATTTATTCTAGTCATTTTTATGTGAGAAAAATAATATCACGTATACGTTTTATAATGAATTAATATATTTCGGGAACCGAATTATATATTCTTAATAATATTAAAAGTGTTTAAAAATTATATTTGACTTTTAATTTTAATTATTTTTTAGCAAAGAGTTCCGAAATCTCTTACACACATAATGGGGATTTTTTTCATCCATATAATTCGCAATTAAGTATATATGTTAATTATTAATTTTAATAAAATAAAAATTAAAATTAAAGGTCAAATATAATTTTTAAACACAAATATATTAAATTAATTATAAAACGTATACCCATGATAGTATTTTTCTCGTACAAAAATAATTAGAGTAAATTAAATTAATCATAAAAGATTAAAAATTAATTAAAGAATTTAAACTTATATTTTATATAATAATAATAAAACATTTTATTACGTCAAACCGTCGTGAAATAATTAAATAAAATTTGCTAGTTACGTCGAAGTCAAGTTTTCTAAGCTTATAAAACATTTTATTAAAAAACAGATTCAATAAATATAAGTACATGTTATATATATACTTATATTTATTGAATCTGTTTTTTTTATAAATGTTTTATTATTATCATATAAAATATAAATTATTTAATTATTTTTTATTTTTTTATGAGTAATTTAATTTATTCTAGTTATTTTTGTACGAGAAAAATACTATCACGGGTATACGTTTTATAACGAATTAAATATATTTATGTTCAAAAATTATATTTGACCTTTAATTTTAATTTTGTATTTTATTAAAATTAATAATTAACATATATACTTAATTGCGAATTATATGGATGAACAAAATCCCTATTATGTGTGTAAGAGATTTCGGAACTCTTTGCTAAAATAATTAAAATTAAAAGTCAAATATAATTTTTGAACACTTTTATATTATTAAAAATATATAATTCGACTCTCGAAATATATTAATTCATTATTATAAACGTATACGTATTAGTATTTTTCACATATTAAAATGATTAGAATAAATTAAATTAATTATTAAAAAACTAAAAATTAATTAAACGACTTAGACTTAGATGATAATAATAATGAAACATTTATTAAAAATAATTATAATAGGTCAGGTTATATTTTATTTTATTTATTTATTTTATTATTTATTATTTATTTATTTATTTAAACATCATAAAATTCTGTCCTTTCCGAAATACGCGAACGCTACGAAAAGATAAATCTCGTACATGCCGCCGGACGAGTTCATGAGCATGAGACGCTCTTATCTTGGGAACGTATTAATAGTTACTGCATTGACCACTACTACGATATGGCGCTGAAATCAGTGAGAAATGCTGGTCTCTCCTTCATCCAGACCTTTGGCGATCTGTCTATTAATCTGTGTCGCCGACGAGGCCCGCGCAGGACGCCCGTCAACATCGCGAACGGACGACAATGTGACTCGTGTGCGCCAATTATTGAATCAGACCGTCGAATGAATGTTCGCTTAATGTCGGAATTATTGAACTTGCCGAAAACGATTGTTCACGAGATTGTATCGGAAGACTTGGCCATGCGGAAGATTTGCGCAAAACTTGTGCCCATACGGCTCACAACGCCTTTGGTATTTACGGCCCCTGACCCGGATCGGTGTGGCAACGGTGCCGCAGCCGCCCTACAGTCCCGACTTGGCCCCGGCGGACTTTTTTTTATTTCCTCGGCTGAAAAGGGAGCTCAAAGGACAACAGCTCGAGTCGGTTGACAAAGTACAAGCTACTTCGACGGCCTCCCTGAACAGCATCCCAGTCAAGGAGTTCCAGAAATCTTATGACGCATGGAAATCGCGTTGGCAAAAATGTATGACGCAGAAGGGTCATACTTCGAACAATTTTAAGTTGTTTTACCTATGCGATCAATAAATTCCTTTTTAAAAAAATGCGACGCATTACTTTCCGGACAAACCCTGTATTGCGATGGTAAGTACGCAACACATATCTAAAAATATTTTTAATTTTTATGATATAAAAGTTTCACGTCGTGTGGTATAATCTAATGTTAGAATAGTAATTATAGAATTAATATTATAATTTGAGTAATATTTATAAAAGAAAGCGACAATGAGATGAAAATAAGAGCGAATGAGATAAACAATATTTTACGAAATCTATTACGTTTCATTCTTTTCGGTTAATAGCCTTCAGATTTGCTTGCTCAAGGAATTACTCGTGATCTTTTATCGAGATACAAGATAATAACATTTGTAACACTAATTTTTGTAAAACTCTACTAATAGTAATGTTTTAATAAATATATTTAATTTTATATAATAATTGCTCGTCAAAGGCCTTATTTAAGATACTGTTAAGATAATAACGTTAAAATTAGAACTCTTTCGAACGAGCGAGCAAGCTTCGATGAAATTTCTATATTCGGAATCTTTTTTCAGCGAGTAGTGTCTCGATATCGAAACATATCTCCTTCTCTCTCACTTTCTATTTATTTTTTTTTCATTTTCCGACAACCGGCATCCCTGTTTTAAGTATTTATATACATATACAGTATATTTTTACAATTTTTTTTCAGGAAACTGGAGAGAGAATATTGGAATTCTCTCCGTTGACAAAACAAGTAACACCGATGATGACATCGTTGATGCCGATATCAACGATGTCGGCAGAAAACTGTGTCAACAGTGGCATCGGTGACATCGGCATCAACGATGTCATCAACTATGATGTCGGCGGAGGCATCGACATCGACATCGGCATTGGCACCGGCATCGGCATTGACACCGGCGCTAGCACTGGCACCAGTATCAGCACCAGCACTGACATCGGCACCGGCGTCGACATTAATGGAAATACCGGCACCAGAGAAGGCACCGGTACCAGCGTCAACGGAGGCGTCAACGCTAATAGCATTAAGTGTAAGTTAGACATTTTATATAAATACAATTTATATTAAATATAAAATTAATCATATATACAGAATTGTATTTTACATACAATATTATTAGAAAAAATGCAAAATAATCCTTTTAAAACATTTTTTATTAAGTCATTTTATTATCTTTCCGGTTTTAATATAATTTATTATTAATTAATATAATTGTTATATTTATTTTTGTTATATATATATATAATGTAAAAAAATTAATCTTTTTAAAATAATTATTACAATTATTACAATTTATTACGTTTTTTATTATTATTTACTATATTATATTTACTTTTTGTTTCAGAGAGAAGATTTAAAAGGTCTTATTGATGCAGCTGTACAATCTGCCATGAGAGGAGGACGAGGAGGAAAAGGACGCGGGATACGAGGAAGCAGAGGAAGAAGAAGGGGAAGAGGAAGAGGACGAGGACATGGATATCAAAGAACAGGGATTAATATTAATAATTATTATACTGCTCCTAAAACATAAAACTATATATATATATATATACTATACATATAACTCGCTATTTTATCACATATATGTAACTTTATATAAAACACTAATAAAATGTAATAAAATTTACCTTGGTCCATTCTTTAGCTGATTTACCCGGCCCACATCCAGTTGTATTTAATATTTCCGTTAATTTTTCCCACAGTTCATCCTAGTTAGAAGTTATTAATCGCAATATCCATTAAATATTATTTTAAGCCATATTACTAAACAAATAAAGTATAAAAAATGTTTAAAACTCATTTAAAACTTATTTTCAAAGATATTTTAAAAATGTGAAAATATTTGGTTCCCCTTTATTCATTAAAAGAACGTTTATTTTAACGTCAATGTAATATAAATATTATTTAACGTTTATTAAATATTTATTTTTGTTAATATTTTTTGTTAATATTTTATTAATAAAATATTAAATATTTAATAAACCTTAAATAAATATTTATATTACAGTAATGTTAAAATAAATGTTTTTTTTTTTAATTTTAAAAGAAGGGACTTAATCAATTTTTTCACATTTTTAAAATATCTGAAAATGAGTTTTAAACATTTTGTTTGCTATATTTGTTTGTTACTTAGGAATATTAGTAAAAATATAATAAGGATAAGATATAATAATGAAAGTAAGCAAAAAATGGTAAGTATTATAAATAGTAATAATTATTTTCAACTATCCGTTAGTCATAATATTTTCCTTTATTTTCTTTTGCTTAAAATAATTTTTCTTACACAAAACATAAAATACATAAAAAATAGTAAAAGACATTAATAAATAGGATGGTATTAAATGGATAAAAAATAGCATTTCGATTTTTTTATCCATTCTAATACCATCCTATTTATCAATGTTTTTACTATTTTTTATGTATTTTATGTTTTGTGTAAGAAAAATTATTTTAAGCAAAAGAAAATAAAGGGAAAATATTATGACTAACGGATGGTTGAAAATAATTATTACTATTTATAATACTTACCATTTTTTGCTTATTTTCATTATTATATCTTATCCTTATTATATTTTTACTAATATTCCTAAGTAACAAACAAATATAGCAAACAAAATGTTTAAAACTCATTTTCAGATATTTTAAAAATGTGAAAAAATTGATTAAGTCCCTTCTTTTAAAATTAAAAAAAAAAACATTTATTTTAACATTACTGTAATATAAATATTTATTTAAGGTTTATTAAATATTAATATTTTATTAATAAAATATTAACAAAAATATTAACAAAAAATAAATATTTAATAAACGTTAAATAAATATTATATTACATTGACGTTAAAATAAACGTTCTTTTAATGAATAAAAGGGGAACCAAATATTTTCACATTTTTAAAATATCTTTGAAAATAAGTTTTAAATGAGTTTTAAACATTTTTATACTTTATTTGTTTACTACAATACTTTGGTTATTACTTTTTTCTAATACTTATTTTGATACTTATATTGATATATAAATAGTATGTAAAATGTATATATATTTAAAATTAATAATAATAAATGTATAAAATGTATAAAAAGAAAAATCTAAAATATTTCTTTGTCTAAATATTTCATTAATTTATGTAGACAAACATATAAGAAGATATATGCATATCTATACTCATATACATATATGCCGAATAAATTTCGCGTAGTAAATAATATTTTTTACATATACATATAAAATAATACATGTGCATATAAAATTACATGTACATATAAAATAATTTAATATTAAAATATTTAATTATTTCTTTTTATTGTAAAAAATTAAATTTTAATTCTACAAATTTTTAATACATTACATGTGTAACATATCGAGTAAATAAATTAGTTTTTAAATTTCTTTTCTTTTGTTTTTATTACAGGAAATACGAAAATAGAAAAATGGTCTGCCAGTTCTATTCGACGTGCGGGATGTGTGTGAAGATCATTTTCTTGAAGACTCCTTCACAAATAAACGACAAGAGGATTAAAACGCAGTGCAGTACCGATTCCTTTCGAGTCTCTAAATAACGTAAGTAATGAACACAATGTATTGATTTCTTTAGATTCTCATAATATTAATAAAAATAATGAAAATAAGAAAAGAAAAAGTATGCAAATGGAAGAAGTGCTTTATTTACAAGAAGAACAAAGTATAAAGAATATTGTATCAACATCTACTACATCATCTACGTCTACTGTTGTTAATGAAAATGTAATAGACGAGCATCCAGAATCACAAACTTTTGAACAACGAACAAATTCATTGCGATGCTATCAGCCACGACATTTAGATTTTAATTCTTCCATAGAAAATGAAGATATAATGGAATGGATGCACATTGAGCCATCTATGCATCAAAGAGTTCTTACGCCTCCTCCGTCTAATAATAATAATAATAATAATAATAACAATACAAATATAATAGAATCGGCGCATCTTGAGCCATCAATACATGAAAGAGTTCTGTTCCTCCGTGCAATAATACAAGAAGTACTAAAAATAGTACAGAAACAAATACAAAAAATGAAATAATACATAAGTTATGTGCAAAAGTTAAATATCTAAAATCTGAAAATATACGATTGCGAAGACAAGTAAGATATCTGAAATATCGTTTACGTCATATTCCACAAAAACGTAAAACGTCAAAAAAAGATAAACAAAAGAAAATAATATTAAACAAATTGGTAGACGAACAAGATCTAAATCCTGTTGCGAAGGCGATGATAAATTTGCAACTGCATAAACGCAATGCAGCATATACAAGAAGAGAAAAATCTGTCAAGACAACTATATTATTATTCACCTGCTGCTTTCTGCCGCTTAAGAAAAGCAGGTTGCAATTTTCCAGGGCAACGAACTATTAGAAGATGGCTGGAAGAATATGACGTACGGCCAGGATTTTGTGATTTTATTTTTCAAAAATTAAAGGAAAAGATTTCTTATTTACCAGTAGAGGAAAGAGTGTGTGCCTTAAAATGGGACGAAATGGCCATAAAACCTTATGAAGAATATTCGCAAAAATTAGATGAAATAGAAGGTCTTGTCGATCTTGGTCCTCTAGGAAGAAAATCAGAAAGATCTAAATGCGTATTTGTCTTTTGCCTAGACAGTTTAAATGTACAACGGGTGCTGCCTGTGCAACTTTTAACATGTGATCAAGGCACATGTAATCAAGTGCGTAAGTTGAACTCGGTATTGATGCACAGAGGCATGTTTTATAATAAGGGAAAAAATATAACGCATCTTTTGATTTTCCTCATCTGGTAAAAAGATGGCAAGTTTTCTTAGAACGCACAAAAACATTTATTGTGATGGAAAAATAATCGCATCGTATTCAGATTTTGAAATGACTTGGTATATTGACAATGCCACAAAAGGAGGCTCAATTTATTATCCCATATAACAGAAGCACATATTCGTCCAAATAATTTCGAAAGCGATGAATGTTAAAAGAGTTTTTCAATTATTTAGTCACACATTTGCAGCTGCAATAAGAACAGCTGGTAATGCAAAAGAATTAAATACGAGTACGTGGGAGCTACAGCTGACTTTGCAACACGCTTAAATAATATATTGATGCTTGTAACAGTTACAGCCTTAATATTACATTGGCGGAAACGACCATTATCCTTCAGAAATTCAGATATTGAAAAATCTGTTAACAGATTCTATCGAATGGTGCTCAAGATGGTCAAAATCGGCGGAAAATCTAGTTCAAATTCCTTGTTTCAAGGTTTTCCATTAACTATACGAGCTCTTCTTGACAACTTAT